ATATATATATATAATATATATATATATATATTATATATATACCTCATATATATATACATCTATTTCTTCCTCTTCTTCCTCCTATGCTGCCTATACACAACTGCTACTAATACCTCCTACACGTATTAACAAAGAGTGTGCCATAGTAAACAATTTAATGTTAATAATAATAATAAGAATTATAATAACAATAATAATAATAATAATAATAGTAATCCGTCAGGCTGTCCACAGACAAAGCGCAGAAAAACCCCACAAAAGAAAACCAACGAACCAACAGCTAAGCCCTTACTCTTACACTATGCACACTTCGCTACCCTCTTGCATGCATGCAGGCAGGTGTGCATGCATGCATGGGTTGGTGCATGCGTGTGTGCATGCATGAATGGGTGCATGCATGCATGTATGCATGCTGCGTGCATGGTTGCATGCATGTGAATATGATGGTCCTCGCATGCCTGCATGCATGCGTGCGTGCGCACACATGCATGCGTGTATGATGGTCATTACATGCGTGCATGCATGCATGCGCGCATAGTGTGTATATGATGGTTATTGCATGCAAACAGGCCAGTACTACATGCATAATGCATGCAACAGTGTTGTATGCATGCATGATGATATTGTATGCATGCATGGATGCATGCATACATGCAAGGATAGATGAATGGATACATGCAAGGGTATATATATGTATTCATGCATGCATGCAAGTATGCATGCAGAGACTTCTGCATGCGCCTCTGCATGCAAATATTGGTGGCGAGTGGTAAATACATATGATGAAGGGCTGCTGCATGCAATAACATCCCTCCTAAGGCAATTTAAAGCCCCAAAAATGCAGGAAGAAGGAATAATATATATATTCTCTTCCTTGCAGCAGAAGCGCATGCATCTTTTTGCCAAAGCCCCAAAATATACACCATACAAGCATAATTACTACCTACACTATAGCCTATTCCCCTCCTGCTACAGCAGCAGCAGCAGCAGCAGCTACAGAGCGCCAGCTGCAGTTACACCTACAGCCGCAGCTGCTGCTGCAGCTCCTACTACTACCACTACTGCAGCAGCAGCTGCAGCAGCAGGAGCAGCAACGGGAGGATATTTAGAATCTTCCTGGTCCTAATGGCATACCATTAGGTCCTCCAGGTCTAGAATAAGGGCCCCCTCCCCTGAATGAATTTCCTCTCCCTCCTCCTCCTCTCGATCCCCATCTCCCTCCTCCGCTGTCTCCTCCATAAGTAACAAGGGCCTCTAATTCAGGAGGGACTGTCTGATTTGCTTCCTTTAATACACGAACTAAATCACGAGCTAAACGTTGCTTATCTGCTGTAAAGAAAGTATAAGCATTACCTGCATGCATGCATGCACACATTATACAACAAAAAGAAAATATATATTATATTTTATTATATGCATGCATGCATGCATGCATACAACAATGGTGATAACGGGTAAATAATAAAGACACAGTGTCGCGTCATTTGCTGCATCTTCTGCATCTGCATCTGCTGCAGCACCAGCGACAACAGTAGCAGCAGCAGCAACAGCAGCAGCTGGAAGGAGAATAAGAAGAATAAGGTAGCGTACCTTTAGCTCCTGCTCTTCCTGTTCTTCCTATTCTATGAACATAATCTTCTATTTGATTGGGCATATCATAATTTATTACATGACGAATATCTTTTACATCTAAACCACGGGAGGCAACGTCTGTTGCTACCTGTATATAAATAAATAAATAAATAAATATACATAAATATAAATAAATATAAATAAATGTAAATACATGGATGCATGCGATGCCGCAAGTGCAGGCAGCACCAGTAGCAACAAGAGCCACAGCAGCAACACCAAGATGAGCAACAACACCACCACCAAAAGCAGCTCAGGCAGGAACAAGAGCAGCAGCAGCAGCAGCAGCAGGAAGGACTGACCATAATAGGGTTGCGTCCCTGTTTGAATTCATCTAATACCCATGTTCTTTCTTCTTGTTTTTTATCACCATGAAGGGATAAGGCAGGCCATCCCTCCATACGTAAATCACGGGTTAAGTTATCAGCACCTAAATAAATAAATAAAATAAATATATAAATAACATTAATTAATTAATTAATTAATAATAAATAGTCATATAGAAACACCGCAGCACTAAAACTGCAGCAGCAGTAACAGCAGCAGCAGAAACTTATCCCTCACCTCTCTTGGTCTCCGCAAAGACAAGAATCTTAGATCCATCCATAATACGACGCAGCAAAGACATAAGCTGTCCTCTCTTCTCATATTCCTGCATGCATGCATGCAACAGCCCCACAACTCGTGCATGCAGTCAGCAGCAACAATGCCCTCAAGCATGCATGCAGCAGCCCCAGTACTTTCGTGTGCATGTGCATGCAATCGTGCAACTACTACACTATATATATTACATACACAAACACACAACTAAGCAGCAGCAGCAATTCATGCATGCATGCATGTGTGCGTGCTGCAGTTGGTGCATGCATGCACCAACTGCGTGAGGTAGTGACAGATCTAAATAAGCAGCAAAAGATGACGCGAAGTGTCAATTGATTTAAACAAAATAAACAAAAAAAAAACAAAGAGAAAGAATAAATAAAAGGGGAAGAAATTGAATAAAAAAGAAAACAAACGAGGAAATCAGCAACAAAAAGGAAAAATATAACAAAGAAAAAAGGACAATAGATAAACAAAAAGGAAGGACTATGAATAAAAAGGAAAGAGATAGAACAAAACACAAAGATAATAAGAAATAGGAAAATATACAAGAAAAAAAGACAACATAAGACATAAGCCACTTATATCCATATAAACAAGGACGCATGCATCCATGCATGCATCCATCCATGCATGCGCGCTATTTGCATGCATGCATGCGTGTTTGCATGCACGTTTGCATGCATTCATGCATGCGTATTTGCATGCACTCATGCATGCGTATATGCATGCATGCACGTTTGCATGCATTCATGCATGCGGATTTGCATGCGTCTTTCCATGCATGCACGAGCCCACCCGCCCACCCTCTGCATGCATACAATAATGCATGCAAGCATCTGCATGCATGCGTTTGCATGCATGCAGATGAATGCATGCAAATGCATGCTGAGGGTAGCGTTGGGTATACTCACCGCCGTGAACGTTGGGTATTGGGATCGTGAGGGGATGGGCTGGGGATCGTCCCATGGAGACGATTCCCCCACTTATGCTGGGGATCGTCTCCTGGAGACGATCCCCTTACAGTTGTTTGGGATCGTCTCCAAGAAGGAGAAAGACCCCACCTATGCTGGGGATCGTCTCCAACGGAGACACCTCATGAGGGCCCACATAAGGGGGCCCTTGAAGCCCCTCAGCAGCCCCTCTTTGCCAATCACCCAACAACGGCGGGAGAGACAGAAGAGACAGCAACGGCATCAAGAGAGACACACTAAAAGAGAGAGAGAAATAGAGATATGCGAGGAGACAGCACAGCAGCAAAGAAGACAGACACCCAAAGCAAATGCAACAGAAAAAAAATTAAAAAAAGTAGCAAGAAAATAATAACAACGAGGAAGGAGACAAATATAAAAAACAATAAAGGCGAAGGAATAAAACCAGTATCTACATGCATAGTCATATGCAGCATACATGCGTATCCCGTCTGATTACCCATATAGTACACATACACAGATATGTAGTACAAATCATGTATATTACAATAAATACAATATATGCATAAATATACATATATATACATATATATACACATACATATACATAAACAGCACAAATACAAGTATGCAATAGAAGTAATACACCTTAAACAACTATAAAACATACAGAAAACGGGAGAAAGAAAAACATATTAAGATAGAGAAAAATAAATAATAATAAATATATATTATGTATCTGTATATATAAATAAAAAATATATATATACCTGTAGTACGAATACTTCTTGTCTAATATTATGGCAAGCCTTAAGATCAAGACTACCAACATTAATATGTACAGGTTCCTCTTTACACAAATCTCTAGCTAGATTTTGTACTTCTTTAGGCCATGTAGCTGACCACATAAGTGTCTGTCTATCTGGACGAATTTGGCTAACAATTTTTCTTATTTGTGGTTCAAATCCCATATCTAACATTCTATCGGCCTCGTCCATAACTAAATATGTTACACGACGTAAATTTGTTATATTACATTCCAAAAAATCTATCAGACGACCTGGGCACGCTATACATATTTCTGCACCACGCTGCAATTCTTGAATCTGCGCACGCTTAGGTACGCCACCATATGCAGCTGCAACATGTACATATACACATATATATATATTATTATTTGTTTTGTTTGTTTGCTTCTTTATAGTCATTAGAGATGGTTGTCGCCAATCATTTGTTAGGGGAGGGGAGAGGGAATAATAGGAAACGGAGATGAAAATTAGATGCATCTAATGATGACGATGATGCTATGCGTTCAATGTATATCTAAACAAGATAAAAAGGATAAGGGGGTAGGAAATAGATGATAAAGGGGATAAATTAATAGTGTATTTCTTTGTTTATATACCTGCATGGTTGATCTTAGAAGGAGAAGCAAATAGACGGCATTGTGCCCTGATTTGTTCTACCAGTTCCCTTGTAGGGGCTAAAATAAGAGCAATTGGGCCATCACCAGAACTGCAGAAAAAAAAAATAGAAACAGAAAAACAATAAGAATAACAAGCATAACAACAGATGAAGGCGTGCATGCATCTATGCATGCATGCAAAGGAACAGTACAACGGACTCACCGCAAGTAGGGTTGTGCGTTGATGTGTACGATGCCCGGCAACAAGAAAGCCAACGTCTTTCCTGATCCTGTCTCTGCAATACCGATCATGTCACGACCAGATAGGGCAATTGGCCATCCTTGTAGCTGCACAACAAACCCACACATGCATTCATGCATGCATGTGTCCATGCATGGTGTGCCTGCATGCGTAGATCTAGATTGATGGCTGGATCCATGCATCCCATGCATCCATGCATCCATGCATGCGTGCATCCAAGGCTGTGTTGTTGCGCATGCAGTTGCATGCAGAGGCGTACCTGAATTGGTGTTGGCTTTTGGAAGCCAGCAGCAGAAATGGCGTCAAGAAGATAAGAAGGGAAAGATGTGTGCTCAAAAGTAGGACAGGGCTTAGGGACATTAACTCCTAAGAACACAAGAACATTAATGCATACACTAACAACAATTAGCACACACCCTCCTCATCCGCATGCATGTATGTGCGTACGCATGAATGCAAGCATGTAATACAGAGATCACGCAATGCAGATGTCCACATACGCTACTTTCTTCTCCAGCATTTTACATAAATACGCACATCCGCAAATAAATACATGCATGCATGCAGGCATGCATGCAAGTGGGGTGCCAGTGCATGCATGCATGCACGGGTGCATGCATGCACGGGTGCATGCATGCAAGCTGTTGCATGCAGAAGTAAGAATTTACCTGCAATAATGGTGATTTCATGTTCGCTTCGAATTCTGTCCGCTTCCTCCGGCGGCATTTGTGCGATTTCTGGGTGTTCAACATAAAAGTTTTTTTCGAAGGGAACAAGTTCAACTCTTTGCCAGTCTACTCTAGATAATTTAGCTCCTAATTCCTCTCTTCTGTCTCCATACCCTCCTCCACCATATCCCCCTCCATAGCCACCTCCACCACCTCCATATCCTCCTCCATATCCACCTCCACCACCCCCATAACCACCATACCCACCACCGTAACCACCCCCGCCATATCCACCACCCCCGTAACCACCGGCGCCTCCATAACCATTCGCACCTCCGTACCCTCCAGAGCCACCCGAATACATCTTCTTACAGATTTAACAACCTCCTCACACACTAACAACTCCTAGTTCTTAACTAATACAAACTCCTGCGGACAAACAAATGCATGTATGCACGTATGCATGCATGCATGTACGAATGCATCCATGGATACAGCGACACTCCTACTAACCATATGTGGGGTGTGTCTATATATTAGACGCAGGGAAACAGAGACGAGGGCTTAACAGACAATACAAACGACACCCCATCGATTCAACTCCGACGTCAAGGAGAACAGCAGATGCACTGAGACGGCAAACGAAAACGCACGGATAAAATGCATAAAAGCCAACATATTCAGGCACATCTGACGCATGCAGAGAAGCAATAACTCAAATTCATAAGGAGAAGGATGGAGTGACAAGGAGGAAATACAAATGCATATGCCCCAACCAATGCGGCCACCGGGCAACTGTGGGGCCCCGCGGAGCCGACGGCACCGCGGAATAAGCTGAATGGGAGAGGAGTAATAATATAGCAATAAAAATGATAATAAATTGAAAAATAAAGAAAAAGGGTGGGGCGACACGAACGAACCGCCCTGGCAGCCCCCAAACCGTAGGGCTGGTGGAGGTAGAAGACGCAGATCAGCTGTAAGTCGAGGCGCAAACAAGATCTGCTCACCTCTGAATTTGCAAAAACAAGAAAACTTGAATTGGGTAAAAGAGAGGAGAGGCAAGCTGCAAGAGAACGACACGGGAATGGAATGCTGCAGCAGCCGCAGCAGAACAGGAGATGAATGCAGACGACGTTCAGGACGACCTCCGCCGGCCTAAAGAAGAAGAAAGCAGCCGCCTACTGCCTAAGTTAGGCAGCAAAGGGGAAAGGAAGTGGAAACGAAAAAGAAATTCTGCTGCTTCCTCCAAGACGCAAGCCAAATGCGCAGCAGCAGCAGCAGCAAACAAAGCCCATGGCTGCTGCAACCTGCTCCTGCTGGGCTCTGTACGTAGTACAGACGAGCAGAGTGCACGACGTCCAATTCAGATTTTCTAGTTCATGAACAGATCTCGATCATTTCCCCATTTTTGGTGTGCATTAACCTTTCTCGTCATGAGTTATTCCTTTTTTCCGCTTTTTATTTCCTCTATCTGACCTCCTGTGGGGCGTTTCCCAGCCCCAAGGCAAACATAGACGCCAGAACAGCAAAACATGAATATCTCTTAAATTTCAATAATTTGCAATAAAGCTGAGCAGGTCTTCGACTTTTCTTTGTTTTCCGTATAGGCAGACGTACTGCTATTGCCATTCTTTTTTATGTCTGTGTATCTTTATCCTCTCTCCTTCTAGTTTCCTCTCCCTTTGAGACCCTCTGGGGCCCTCCCCCGCGTCGCCAGTGATAGCTCCCGTGCCCGTGTAGCTCCCTACAAGATCTAGGGCTAGTCGCATACATTACGTCAGTTAGGGGGGTTTCCTGTTGCATGTCTCGCTAGGGGCCTTCCTCTAATGTTTGTAGGGGCGGAGGGGCCCCCCTAGTAACGAATCCTCCCTCTTGAATACCCCCCACTAACCAGTCATAATGGGCGCCAATCGCACCCCTGCGAAGCCGCAGAGGCAGAGAGCAGCTGATGGACACTTCCGCTGCTACAGATGCCCCCAGGAGCTGGCTGTGGCGAGCGTAAGGGAAAAATGCTGCCGCAGCTGTTTGCTGCTCCTCGTACGGAAGGCAGTAGCAACAGAAATGTCTACGCTTCGACAGATGCTCTCCGAGCAGCAGGAGCTACAACAACAGCAGCTACAGACAGCACAACGGGAGCAGCAACACGAACAACAACCCCAGCAGACGCAGCAGCAGCTGCAGGACGTTGCCGACGCTTCGAGGCAGCAAGAGGATGTTCCTCTGTATGTTGCTGTGTCTGGTGGAGATGCGAGTTTATCTCTGTTGTATTTGCTATCGGAAAACATTGAAAAGAAACTCTCAAGGCGGCGGATGCGGCAGCAGAGGGAGAGCGGCCTCAGGAAGGGGCCCCCTGGATGCAAAGGAGAGGGTGCTGGGCCTGGCAATAGCGGCGAACCCGAATTCAGTGCATGCGTTGCGCTGCATGTGGATATTCAGCGCCTGCTGCGGCCACCAGCTGCTATTGTGAGGGCGAGGTTGCCAGCTAGACAGGTAGCCTCTGGGAAGGACAGCAGCAGAAGCAACAGCAACAGCAGCAACAGCAGCAACAGCAGCAACTGCAGCTGCTGCTGCTGTGTCCAGACATCAGTTCGTACGGAAGATTACGTAGTTGCTGAAGGCTTTTCATCCCTCCCAGATGCAGGAGAAACCCTCCCTCTGCAGATACAGAAAACAGCATCTTCTCTTGGGCCTCACGTACACTGCATGCTGCTGCATCCATTGGGGCCGGCCTTCTCTTACATGTTTCCTCAGCAACGGGAAGGAGGCAAGCAAGAAGACATCCCTATTGAGGTGTACAGACACCCCGATGGACGGCTGTGTGGAAGAGAAGACCTCGAACGCATGCAGCAGCAGGAAGCGAAAGTCCGGCGACTCCTTGCACGAACTTTTGCTGCAGACAAAGCAACAGCAGAAAGAATCTGCAGGGCGCTGGTGTACGACTCCGAAACCCTAAACCCTAAACACTAAACTAACAAACAGACCACACCGTCAGCAGTGAACCATCCTTGGTGTAAAGATGTACGAAACCTTGCCTCGAAACCCTGACACCGCACGGTTCATGATGCTGGGGGCCTGGGGTTTCGGGTTTGGTGTTTAGGGTTTAGGCCCGCGGTGTTGAAGTGGTTTACGTTGATATGCATAAGGTGGTGGTGTGGCGGTTTTGCTTGGCGATAGGAGTGAAAACCCTGAAATCCTTTGAGCGCAACAGCAGCAGCAGCCACAGCAGCTCCACCAGCTGCTCCTGCATGCATTATGGCGTTTCCCGTTTGTGGATTTCTTGTTGCGTTGCAGGATGAGGGCCCTCCGTGGCTATTTTAAACGCATGCAGGGTTTAGGGTGTGCATACACCCCGTTTCTTTGCACAGGAGAGACGGCATCTGCGGCATCTCTTGCTGTCTTAGAACGCCTCAGCTATGGAGAGGGCCGGTGTCTTGGCCTCGAGACAGCAACGATAGATAACAGGTAGGAGCTGTCATTACGGGGGAGGAGTGTGGGGATGCTGCCTTCATGCATGCATGGCTGTAACTTGTCAGGGTTATATGGGGGTTGTTTTAAGGTTGCATGTGTCGTGTTTGCAGGCCAAGCCCCTTGTTTGTTTTGTGCCGTCCTGTTGTGTTACTAGAGAAGAAAGAATTGGCATTATTTAGGCTATTTGAGGGTCTTGAGAGTCTAAAGACTTATCCTTATGCCTTCCACCTGAATGCTTGCATGGGGCTGCCTTACGGGGAAACCCCTTCTAACCCTCACCTCTCCGTCCGCTGGATGCTGCAGCAGTTCCTAGCAGACATACACAAAAGCAACAGCGCCTCCTTTCACAATCTTAGCGCCGCTGTTAAGCGGCTAGAAGATCCTCTTAATGATGCAGACATACCAGAAGACCAATGTGCGTCTCCACTTGGCGCTGCATGCACGCTCAGGGGAAAACGGCGAGCAGCAGCACGCCGCTAGCATGCACTACACAAACGAAAACCCCATGGGGGCTAGCATGGAAGCATGCTTGCCTGCATGCATGTTGTGCTGTGGGCCTGTGCATGCGTCGCAGGCTGCCGCTTCTGCTGGAAAGCCCCAGCAGTAGACTTCAACTGCATGCTAGAGGACGAGGATTTCTTTTCCCCAAAGCAGAGACAGGTTAGTGCCGAGTGAAGATCGCGCAATATATGTATCAGCAAGCTTTCTATACTACGGCTGCTGCTCTGCTGCTTCTGCAGCAGCTCTGCTGCTATACGGTCGAAGGATTTGCTTGTGGAAGGTTATATATGGCCTGGAAGACGGCTGCTTCCTTTGTTTGCGTTGTTTTGTGCCAAGCACAGTGCCCTCTTTAGTGTTTCATTATGTTGCGTCCTAAAATGGGCTGAACATAAGAAAGAGCAATGCATGCATGTTTACATATTCTGTGCGTAGGTTGCAGAGGCGTACTTCCAGCCCGAAGAAAAAGCCCCAAACTTGTGCGTTGCATGCATCCGTGACGCCACGGCAGCCGATAGCGCTGCCGCGCTAATATCCGAGTTTTTTTTATTCCCTGCAGAGGCAGAAAATCCTAAACGCGAAATGCCTACTTATAACTAAAGTGTGTGCGTATTTTTGGCATTGCTTCTCCCTTGCCAGTTCACTAAGCTCCAAAATGCAAGGCAGAAATACCCAACGAATCAATTAACAGTCAAAACCAAAACAACTGCCTGCACAATCCAGGCAGGCGTGCATGCAGACGCATGCATTCATGCGTGCATGCAGTGTGTATGCGGCTGCATGCCCTTGGGGTTTCCTTATGACATTCTGGAGGCCTCTTTGGGGCCTCCTAAAGGGCCTTGAGAAGGCCACTCGGCGCACCGATTTGGTACTGTGAGGCATCCCTCGTCTAGAAGCATTGTGGCTCTTAGTACCTTTTCGTGGAGCTTTTAAGGGGGCCATTGTGTTGCTCTTGGGAGTTTTAAGAGGGACTGGAGTTGCACGCAAGGGTGGGCGCCGAATTTGCGGCTGCTGGTGGGGTCTTCAGGACGATGGGGTTTTTGCGCTTTTGCTGCCTCGGCCAGAGAACATCCTTTTGATGGACACTTTTCGGTTTTTGGTTGTAAGGGTTCTAGCCTTAGAAGAATTGTCTTCTCCGCTTTTGCGGCTTCCCTTTTTCCTCCTTTTGCTGCCACCTTGGCTGCTAAGTTCGCTGTCGTCAGCAATGTCGCTGAATTGCTCACTGAGAGATTGGAGATCGAATGCACTGTCTGTTTCAAGTTCACACTGGTCTGCATCGTCTCGTATGCTGCGTCTGCTTGATCCTTTCCCTCTCTTCTTGCTTCTGCGGGAGCCTTTCTGTTCCCCCTTCATCAGTTTCTCTAACCTCTTGGCCTCACGTTCGTTTTTGCGCCCTTCTTTTATTTTCTTATACCACCGCCCAAAGCTGCTGTGTCGTATCTTGTAAATCATCCACTTCCACAAGTTGGAGACAGCCTGGAAAACAAAAAAAGACTCTTAGACCCTAATCCCTTAAAACCGAACAGCAGGAAATAGCCAATGCGCGCGCACAGAACGGTTGCCTTGCGAGACAAGGCCCAGTAACACACGGCAGTGCTGCAATGAAGCGACAGTCTCAGAGCGTGGAGGAGACACTTTGAGGATCCCGTATGAACAGGTGTCCCCTGCTGCTCTTTGAGCTATGTTTTAAGGAAATTTTAAGGAAAGTGTCGGGTGTCTTGTTTGTGTCCGTGGGTCTCTGTATTGTGCATTGGGGTATCTGCATGCCCCACCATTTCAAGCCTTTCTAAGAACTTAAAGTGTGAGCGGACGATGACGTAGAGAGACAGTGCAGGGCCTAGGAGAGAGGCGAAAGAAGCCATTATAACGGCTTTGGAGACGATAGCGACGGCAGTGAGGACGGGTGAAGCGGAGAATGGGGGCGGATTTAAAGGGTCTTGGGCACTTATACCCGACCCTTCTTGCACAGGAGCATCGAGGCAAATCCCTAGAGGACCGCAACCTGTCGACCCTGCCAGTCCCGATTGATTTCCTACTCCCGCAACCCCACCGCCTCCAGATCCTGCTGCCCCACCGGACACGCCGTCAAGGCGAACCTCCGCCAAGGCGTTCAGCTGGTTGGCAACTCTGTACAGGAGCACACAGAATGAACGCGGCTAACATGCACTCTGCCTCCGGGAAGGTGCATTCGTGCATGCATGTATGCCTGTGGTTGTATGTCTCTCTGCATTTGCCTGTTTGATCTGTGAACTGTGAACTTGTGAGGCTGATGGAAACAGTAGTATGGAATACAGGCAGCCAAGTGGGGCAGAGGAATCAAGGAGGCAGAGAAATGCAACAGACGACAAGACGCACAAACGACCGAAGCCAACAAGAAGCCACCATGTAGTACAGAAACAAGCAGCAGCATACCAGCACTCTACGAGCCCTAAACCCAACACCTTAACCCTAATCCGTCAACGGTGGGGTTACTCACGCAACAACCGAGCCCGCGAAAAACAGAGCAAGCCCCAACCAGCCCATGATTTCTGCAGCTCTGTCACTTTGTCTTTTTCGTCTCCATTGGTTGATCATTTGGCCAAAGAAGGGGGCCTGGGCAGAGAGGAAGTTTCCAAATGCGGGATATCCGAGGTATCTGTACAGCTGGCCTGCATAGTGGCTGTGGTAGGTGAACATCACTCCAGTGCCATAGCGTAGGCTCTTAAGCATCTTCTTTTGCTTCGGTGGGAGCAGATTCTCTAGTAGCGCTCGGCCCAAGTCTCCTCCTGCTAGTACCATGCGGAAGGAGTTAACTTGCAGAGGGTCGTAAAGGGAACGCTGCCAAGAGGTTTTGCTGTACTCTTTCTCTTTCGCTGCAGCAGCGTCAGGCCTCGCCCACCCCTCTGCTGCAACATTCAATGCCAGACGCCACAGGTGTGCGAAAAATATAGAAAACGTCGAACGCCGAAACTCCTGTGCCCTCTCTCCGCTCTCCAGCGTCGCGTACAGAGGATCCACTTGGCTCACCAACGCAGTCACGGGAACCTGCTCCACAAAACCGCCACTCCTGCTTACTATGAACATTCAGTATATCTTTTTACTAACTGTTGCACATGTAATACGTGGGATTTTTGTACTAACGTATGGTCAGGTAGCTGTATATACATATCGATGCACATGTATGCATGAACATGTATCTCTGCAGATGCAGCATAACTCAGTATTCTTGTGCAGGCTGCGCATTATAGAATAGTGGTCGGTGTCTCCTCAGAGGGGGCAACAAAACCTGTCCGCTGACACGTATGAGAGTATTAAGGGGAAAAGTGGGTTCACACATGAGGCGAGGAGGGTAGAAAGAGAGCCAATTAAGAGCAGCGCTATGACACAACAGAAGGGTCTGCAATGGAAAGAAGCATTGCTTATTTCCGGGTTTACGTACAGCTGGAGGCACGGCTTGTGGGCTGTAGAACTGTGTTTGCAGGGTGTCGAAGAGGGACTCAGCAGCCCTTAGAAAGACGTCGGCGGAGGGGAAAACGGCGGGGTTGTTGTGATAAATGTTGGAGAGTTCTTTGAGTAGGAGGGCGACTTTGGCGTAGTCAGGCACAACAGCTGCATATGTAGCGTGTTGTGCCTGGTAAGGAGACATTCGAAAGAGCTTGTCGATTGCCCTGGATATTTTGTCTTTGACGCGGTTGAGGAAGGACTTCTTGGTCTTTAAGGAGGTCTCTTGGGGAGTGGTAACGATCCCAACCAGCAACAAATTATCTCCTGCCTGCTTCAGCAAATGCCAAGAGTCCTGCAGCAGCTGCAAAAAAGGCCAAGTGTGTGAGGGTCTCTGACAGGCCAGCCATTGCTGCTCGCGGATATCCTGCTGCTCCAATAACTTGTTCATGGAGCGAAACAGTGTCTCCTTTAGAGACGAGTTTAAGGAATTCATCTCGGGCGGGGCGGCTGTCAGGTCAAACCCCAACATATCTCTTGTCTGCGCCTGCAGCCCTCTCTTCAACTTATCCTGCATAGACACATGCCGACACCAAGGCATTCAAAACATCATTTAAAACCCCCTAAACCGAGTTTACAGCGACACTTAGACAACATGAACAAATGCAAACATATAATGGCTCCAGTTCCTATAGTATATCGCAGACAAGGGCCAGTGAGTACTCAAAGAGTGAAAACCGAAACCGGATCTCGGTTGCATGTAAGCGCACTCCCCCCTCCCATCCCCTTGGGTGCGACGGCGTGTGCGTATACACTACACTGGGGCTGCCATGGGTTGTGAGGCGTGTTACCTGGGCCTTCTTCGGCATTCCGTTGTACGTCCACTTCTCAATTAACTTGTCCAATTCCCCCGCGAGGCCGCCGGGGTCCCTCACTGCCCCTGATGCCTCACTGTAGAATGAGGCATATTGATTAAGATGATGGAATACTGAGGGGTGGACAACCGGTCTAAAACTGGATTGGAGTGCCTCCCAGGCATCTGCAGAGAGCTGCGACTTCAAGACTGCAGGCAAACACAAAAGCAGAGGCACGGGGTGGGTATATTGATGCTCATCGCAAGACGATTAGCCGTCACCGCTGAGGGGCAAGTGAGGCACAAAGGAAACTGGTTCCTATATGCCTCTCCGCCTGTACTAACTGCATACCATCATGCATGCATGCATGCGTGCTTGCTTGCATGCATGCAGGCACGGAATACGGGAATAGTGGGACGTACAGCGCACGTGCGCCGCAGTCAATTGCTCCTTTTTCTTAAAGACGCTGAGTATTTTTTTCAGTATACTCTTCTTTTGGTGCCGCCCCTGAAGGAGGTAGTTAGCGCGAAACCCATTCAAGCCGAATATGGAATCTGCAGGAATAGGAGAGAAAGTAAATAAATGGAGGCGTGAAAAAAAGACGAAACAAACGGACGAAGTGCAACGCATAAATGCACACATACGGGGCATTTGCAACATTTTCCTCAGAAAGTGCAGCAGCACACACACACACTTTTAATTTAATAAACTAAGGGAGAAAACATGTAAACAGAAACCTAAACCCTAGACACTTCAAAGGGGCGCCAGTTCACCTTTTACAGCACCACCCTTTGTCTGCATGTCGAGGAGGCCAAACCATTCGTTTAGAACAAGCAGCGCTCGAAGCCAGGGGCTGTACAATCCGAAGTGTTCATACATTTGATGATTGGAAGCTAGAACTGCAAATGGGTGCTGCTTCCGCCAGTCCTTGCAGTGCTGTCCTACACAGGGTTCTTGCCTGGCCAGCCATCCCAACGCGTGCGGTATATCAATTCCTGCATGCAAGAGTGCCACAAAAAGTGAATGTAAGGTGTACATACACCGCAACTCAGTCGGAGCCCTAAGCGCTACGCGAAATTTGTGCCCATTGCAGGCGTGCGGATATGTGGCTTGCAACAGGTAATCTCGTCTCCCAACTTTAGTATTTGTTTTCCATGCATGTACTGCTTGGGTAGCTGTTTTCTTGCTGCGTTGTATTTGCATTTTCGTTGTTGCAATCTATCCATTTTTGACTTTTTTGCCCTACTGTTGTCGAGTATTTTTGCCGTGTTTTCGAAGAAGTTGCACTGAAAGAGACTAGTGTACTTCGCGCAGTTCATCTTCTTCCAGCCTTTTTCGGTCGATGACGCTGTGCATTTAACTGCGTAATCCATCGCGGATTTCGCCTTTTGCTTTTTCAGCTCCTTTTGAAAGTCGTTTGTCTTTAGCCGCTCACAGAATTCACGGTCTAACCAGCCCCACACAAAGTCATGCACACCAACACACAAATTATGCAACCAGCTTCGTATATGCAGATGTGCATGCACGGTTGCATCCGCGCTTGCATTCATACTTGCATTGTGGCTGTTTGGCGTAGGCTGTCCATACAATTCGGCACTGAGATTAGCTCCATGGGGGCGGCTGTTTAGCGGCAGTCTTGAGTTCCAGTAGCAAGAGGTTTGTACTATTTTTTGCCTTTAGAATGCATATGTGACTGTGTTATTAATTACTCACTCTTTTCAGTGGCTTGGACAATTGCATCGTATGTCCGAGGATCCTCTCGAAGACGAGTGTCCAACCCTGTACACGCACCCACTTCCATGCATGAAAATTACTTCATGTCTGTGCCCACAAATAAGTGCGCGCTTGTACGTACTAAAGAGTGCATCTTGTTTGCAGACGTGCACGCGAACACATGAAGGTTTTGGATGATCTGGTGGGCTGCATGCAGCATGCAACAGGGTCTTGTTATCTGTCGGAATGCAAATGCACGCATGCATTGACACATGCATCCATTTACATGCAGGCGCCGTTGTTGGAGTGATGCTGCAGCTACATCCTGTCTCTTTTGTCTTGCAGAGCAGCCAGGCATCCATTTAGTTGGTCACCTCAAGAGTTTCGACCATACTAGGACTTGCGTGCAGCTATAAACATAAAGGATTGGGACCTGTTGAATTGGTGAGTGTGCATGCAAACGCAAATACGCATATTAAATATCTACATATACGAACATATAAGTAGCATACAGATATAACCTGTATGAATATTAATTCAATGTCACGCTTACAATCTACAGACAGTTGGGTCATAAGTGGGGGGAGGGCCGTCTGGATTTCCGCTGCAAGCATTCACGCACACATTCCTACCTCCACAAATGCTGAATCCATGTGTGCGTGCACTAGTGCTAAATAATAAAACCAGGAGTAAAAGTGGGTCCAGCTGTGGCCGTCTGGCCTTTGGGAGACAAATGGTACAGGAAAACGGAGCAGCCTAATCGCTACAGATGGAGACAGAGGCGATGACAGCGGCAAGACAGAGAAATACAAGGAAACAAGGACACAGGACACAGAAAAGTGTAACTACAGAAGGCAAACAAGACAGGGACAATAACATGAACGCAGGAGGATAGGAAGGGACAATAGGGCCAGGCAAACAAGGGTGGAGACAGGTAAGCAGGGACGGAGACGCTGTTTCGTTGGTTAAAGCAAGACAAATCACTGTATACATATAGGTATGTATAAGTATTACGAAGTTGTACAAATTTCATTACTAAATAATGTTTGAGAAAACGAAACATTAAGGGATAAACAGACCTGTAACTGCAATGACACCAAAGTAAAACTCTAATTTTTCGTAGTCGACAACTAGCCTGTTCGTTTCTGCAGGTCCAGGCCGCGCTATGGGTTCTTGTGCCCCCTCTATAAAGCTTGTTTCTTCTAAAACTTCATTGCCGTTCTTAAGTTGGGCTTGTGAGGTGTCTTCGCTTGTCGATGGCACTTCATGCTGCACCTCTTCACCATCTGCATGTTGTGGCTGAGTCGTGTAGGCTGATGCTTGGCCTGCTTGCTGCTGCTCCTGCTGCAGCTCCTGCGGTTGCTGCTGCTCCTGCTGTTGTTGCTGCTCCTCCTGGTGGGGCAGCACGAGATCTTGTGGGGAACAGGGATTGGCATCATCGAGGACGGAGGCCGAGGGGTGCCTCTGGAGAGAAAAGCATAGTCTCCTCAAGTTGACATCTGGAGAAGCGTTTAGCTGCAGGGGAATAGACAGGCGTTTTCCCTCTTCTGGGGGGCGGTGATTGATTATCTCATTGAAGAAGGACAACCCCCGCTCATAGCCTAAGTGCGCACGTAGGCATGCGTGTTTAGCAGTTGCATACACTTATTTCTCATGCATCTCCTTGCGCATGCATGCATGAATGCACACAGTAGGCATGCTTGCCTGAATGCTCAAGGCGGGGCCGAAGTCGTTACATTGCAGGGACCCATGGAGTGTGCCAAAGAATATGGTGGGACACAAGTAAAGCGGCTTGCTGATGGAAGCAGAGGCGGGTGAAGAAAGCGCGTTCACGCTTGCGTGGATACACGCATTGGGACTGACTCTGTTGTGCGATTTGTATTGCATCTTCAAGGAGATCACAGGCCAGGCGGCTGTAGCCAGTGTTGAACTGTTGACGCTCGAAGAAGACTCGGGGCACAACAAGGAGACTCTTGGGGAGACGCGGGCTTTCTCTCAGCTTCTGCAGCTTTATCTGGCAAACGTTGTCCAGCAGTCTTCTTCTTTCAGTAACAGCGCTGGATAGGAATAAAAACATTTGTGGATAAGGGCGCACCATCGGCGACTGTCCGCCCCCCACAAACAATTCGTCAAAACGGATGTGGGCCAGGAACAGCAACAACAGCCCGATCTTCACTGCACGTACATCATGCATATGTGCACACACACCGGTACACTTAAGTACATAGAAAAGCACGGCCTCAGTTCATTCAAGAATATCCTTTTACGTGGTTGCAGGCCCCTACTGTTGCATGCAAGCAGGCATGTTGGACACATCCATACTTGCTGCCTTTATTGCAACTGAGCTGGAGCTTTAAAATCTGTAGCTGAGGTGGGACTTCGCGTTTCCTAGGGTCTGGGTAATTGCATTGGGGCCTATTGTTCATGAGCTTTAAAAGGTAGGTTTTAGCGTGCATTGTGGTTACAGGTAGGGTTGAAGGCGGAGGAGAGGAAGACTTGAGATTTGGGGTTTTTGCTTAGAAGTGCTTCCGTGAGGTCTTTAGAAGCGATTGTAATGGGAGGTGCCTCAGGAAGAGGGGCGCTCGGATTAGATGTCGCTGATCTGAAAAGACAGCAACAGAATGAGGAATTTGCGCCACATGCAACTGTCTCTTTCAGACTAAGTGCGACCTCTACGCAACACCGCTTTCTCAGTTTCAATGTAGGAGTCTTTTAGGGACAAAGGGACACGAGAGCGAGATCCAGGATTAAGGGTCTGAATGGGAGAGCGTGGAGAATGCATAGAGAATGGGACAGCGCAGGCTTGCCTGGCTTGCAGCAGAGACGTTTCAGCGACAACCTCTGGGGGGGTCGCCAATGTGCCGTCGTCCTGGTTGTCTCCTCTAAAACCCCAATGCACAAATGCTTCCTGCAAGGCATCTTTTGCAGACTTTCCTTCTTGAAAAGCCTTAAAAGGCTGATAAAACACCATTAGGTCGATGTACAGCAGAAGACGCGTAAAGAGGCGGGAGCAACGGAGACGATCCTCCCCACTCGACCCCACAAGAGACTCCTCCAGCTGCACAGCCGCCTCCTTCGCCACCGATACCTCCGCCATGTTGCAGTTCAGGGCCGCAACACCAGCAGCAGCAGCTGCAGACGGGCAGTCCTCACTCTGCTCCCGCAGACGCATGCAGGCTTCTTGACCCCTCTCTGCAGCACCCAGACCAAACCCCTAAACCTGCGTCGAATACGGGCTATACATGCGTGTTGCAAGTATGCACGCATACAGGTTAGAGGGTGTTTACGAGTATCTGAAGCTGAATGATACCTCGCAGGGGATCGGCGAACCAGGAGGCTCCCAGGGACTCCTCCAGTCTCTGCAGGTTTTTCTGAGGCGTAGTTGCTGTACACATCGCACAGAAAATCCAACCAGAATGCATGCACATGCAAGCAGAAAGAAATGTGCTACTGGGCTGTGTTGAAACGTGCATATATGTTGCGTCTCGACACGCTTACCTTCGAGAGGAGAAGCCGCGTCATATCCCTTTCCGCGACTCAGAGGCTTCGCCCCAGGTCGGAATGTCTGAATGCCCTCGAGAATGGCTAAAGAAAAGTGGCACAGAGCAAAACCCCGAAAAACACCCTTGCACGTCAACGCAGGCATGCGCGCACGCACGGACATGCATAGCGGTTGCATGCCTGTCTGCAGTCACAGTCAAACACTCACCGTCCAGCTGCTCTGAAGACAGGTCCTCTGCAGACAAACACAAGCGGTTTCAGGCCGGTGTTCAGGCATTGGTGTGGGTTTTACAACAAGACCATCCAGGAGGAGAGCGGCTGAACAGACATAATGTTGGTCCCCGAAAGTAGCATTGTAACTTTCTTAATTGCATATGTGCCATTTAGGACGGCTGCAGTCTCACCTTGCGGCTCCACCGGGTCCTCTTGGTGAGGCTGGGGTGCAGCGTGTGGAACAGATTCATGGGGAGAAATTGAAGGGGCAGTAGCCGGCTCTTCTGTATTCACGACAGTCAAGGGGCATAGCAGCAACGCAGCAGCAGCAGCAGCTGCTGCTGCTGCCCCGAAGCCTCTGCAGAATGCGCTGCAGCCCCTCATTGTCGTGTCCCTTGAGGGCTATCGGTGTTCTTCGCCTTGGAGCTGCGTTTTCCGGTTGTACGAGTGTCAGAAAATGGGTTCAAGCTGCATGTACATCACACACTCGGCACGAGAATACGGCGAGAACCAGTGGAGCGGAGACTAAGAGGCCTTGGGATCCGATCCCCATGCCTCGTCGCCGCCCCCCGTTCCGGAGCGTTCTTCGGATTCTTTTTTAGCAGAATTACAAAAGAGATTTCAGTGAATTGGAAAGCAAATGGAAGAAAGCGAAAAACCACAGATCGCTGCCGGCGTCCTTCTGGATGAGCAGAGGTCAGCGGTCACGATGTGGCTTGCTGACGTGAGTTCGCTCCGCAGAATGTTGGTACCAAAACACATAATTAACCAAAAAGAAAGAGAGTACACAAAATAAACTATTCAGGGGTATAAATCCCTCTGCCGGTTGCAGATGAACTTCTCTCGGCAGGGACTGCAAGCCTTGGACACGGGCCTGCCAGCGCCTACGCTGCTGCCGTCTGCGGTCATTTTTAATGTGCAAGGTTGTCTGCACCACTCTACTTGTTCGTCTTTTCAAGTTTACGAGTAGACATAAGCAAAATGTGTATTCAAACAGGGTTTTCAATTTGTTTGTTACCGTGAGGTATAATAATTAGGGAACTGTCCACTGCAGCCGGGTGGTCTTTGGAGGTCATCCTGCCTGAGACGTGCGATTCTGGACTTGTCACTCGTTAGCAGTTCCTTTTCATTTTTATCTTTTTTAAAAATCCATTGTATTTATTTTAACATTCCTCAACCATAATCTGTGGGGGGACAGCAGCCGGGAAATGGCCTTCCGCCGCCGCCAGTGTTCGTCCTCCTTACCCTTGCTGCTGCCGACATGTACCAGTGGACCGTTGTAAATGGTGCCAATAATAGTAATAATAATGGAGGCAAATTCTTTGTCCATTGGCTGTAGACGGAAACCAACATAGCAAAGCTCCGGATTCCCGGTTTGCGTACCCTGCATTTGCACCCTTCGCCACCGCTGAGTTCCCAGCGCAGTAGAGAGAAATGGCCGCTGGCGCGGTGGGCCCATGGGGCTCTCTCTGCCTGTAATAATCCAACTCTGAACTGAGAAATTGATCTCCTGACCAGATATCACGTATATGTTGGGCAGGATTGAATTAATGAAGACCCAAACCCTGCCACTCAGAACCTCAAGAGCAAGACGACTTCAGAACAAGTGAACAGTCCATGTTGGGCCATTAATAGAACATAACGGGGTGCACAAAGAACAATATCAATAGCTAGCCTTTCAACAGCTGTTGAACTAGAGGACGAACGCGAAGATTACGAGGCTGTTTGTTGATGAACCGCTTAGTATTGGGCATCAAGCTTTGGTGGCAGTTTTCTACTTGTTTTAGACCAAGGACACTCTAGTATGGCTGCGTGCATTTTATGAACCATTTCCTCCAACAACAGGTTGTTTGCAGCAATTGATCATTCATCTCTTTGCAGGCGAGCCTTTCACACACTTCGTATTGTGGCAGTAACTACAGGCTTGTCATTTCAATGTATACAATAGGAAAAGCAAATGCATAACGTTCAGCTCAAAGCCAAGCTGCTATGTGGGAGGCTCCAGGGGAACATACAAGTAATAAGTGGGGTGAAGACACAACGACAGATCGAAATAGTTGCATTTGGTACAAAAGGATAAAATGAGAAGCCTACAGTAAACCTCCTGGTTCATATCCCTTTCTCCTTTTTTAGAATTGAAAAACATTCAATTTCAAAATTAATTGGATTTTCTCCTGGATATGTATGAAGAGAAGGATGTTTATTAACTGAGCTACAGCTGCGGAAGCTCTAGTTTCGTCTACTTAAAATAGGTATTTTTAAAGACACGGCCGCTATAGGGAATCTGTCCCCAAGCCTGTCCCCAGATAAGATGGACAATCCGAGTGACACTTGTCCTGGCCGCGCATACCCAAACAGTTAGCCCCCAAAAGAATCCTAGGCCTGAAAACGCAAGATGTATAAGTCCCCGCAATGCGGAAGGCGCTAAAGTCGCAAGGGATTCGTTGTCTTGGGCGATGCCTTTGTGGTCTTAGCAACGTCGATGACGAAGGGCGGAAAGGACTCAGTATGAGTTCACCAAGTAGAATCCGTGCCTTCCGACCAGCACCCGATACCTCAAAACCAATGTCAGAAAGTGGGAGACGAGGTCAATACACTAAAAATGTGGCACCAATCCCTCTGTACAGCATGTTCCCCCTTCGGTGGATCTGGGGTAGTGGCTTACTTTTGCCTTTGCATATAGAAGAGCCCGAAGCCACACGCACTTTAGGAGGTACATCAAAGCTGGTGATTCAGCTGGTGATTCGATTTTAATGCCGATTATTTTGAGTAGAGGGTCCAGCGTGTAAGGATATGGCGAAAATCGTTAACCGGTCGGCTGCGACTCCATTGAGTACTGAGCGAAGCAGCCTCCCCTACAGAGGGCTGCGGGCTGACCTGATGAGCTCTCGTGGATAAAAAATACAAACAAAATGCCATTAATAGACAACAACAAATAAGAGCTGTAACACACTTTCGTGATGCCACGTATCACCCAAGGACTAGGAGGAATCGGGGTTATTGTAACGCACGGCGGCCGTTTGCCGTGGCTACGTACCACTCCCTAATAGGCCTAAGGCCCGTATGGCATCCGACTGATGAGCGAATATAGGTCGCCTTGCAGGAGGCAAGGGGCAGCCTGATCTTGAGTTGAAAATTTGATAGTTGGGTTTCGGAGTTGGGCGTTGCCGCCTCGAGCAAAAAGGTTGAAAAGGGGGATGCGAGGGAGCTCCAACTCCTACGGCACGCCCGGATGTCGAGCCAACCTTCTTCACGCTTTGAATAAACCCTCAGTGTTGCTGCCGAGCGTGTTAGGCTTGGTGTCCTATTAGCTCATTAGTGTGTCAAGCAACTTAAGATGTGTTAGCACGAGAACGACCTCCTCCTCTTGCTCGCCTCGTGCCATTATCTGCCATGTG